TTTCATTACTTTTATGTATTATTGCTGAATGAATGAATTATTTGCTTGATAGGCCGAAGTGAGGGGTTAGGCTGACCCGTAACCCTATTATGAGAAAAGATCATCTCTTTTGCTCTCCAAAATAAAAGAATATAATTCTGATTTAGGTGAGGATACTTGATCCCCTCTTTTGAGTCAGTAATGAGCATTAGCATGAGCATGATTGACCGCCTATTCTAAAGACTGGACTCGAAAAAAATGAGACACACAAAAATGATCACCAAAAATTCATTTGAAATCGGATACTTCTCAAATTTTCAGGGATTAAATAACTATATATTGGCTATATTTGACATAATTTATTTATTGAATTTCCTCCCCCAAGCTGAATGCTCGTACATTTCTCTTAACACTGCTCATGAGATCTTGGACGAGGCTTTGTCCATCTTCCTAACACAATTTCTCCCAGTTTTTCTTCAAAGCTTCATCGGTTTGGAATGTTTTTCCGCTTTTCTTCAACTTCTTCATCATTTTCGCCCAAAACTTTTCGATCGGACGAAGTTCTGGTGTATTTGGCGGGTTCGCCTCCTTCGGGACCACATTAACGCCCTTCGCTTCGTACCGATCCATTACAGGCTTGGCGTAATGGCACGAAGCGAGATCCGGCCAGAACAGCGTGGGACCACGGTGAGAGCGGAGGAAGGGCAGTAAGCGCTTCTGCAAGCATTCCTCTCGATAAATCTGCCCGTTTGTGGTGCCGGTTGTAACGAACGGCTTGCTATACCGTCCGCACTCGCAGATCGCCTGCCACAACCGGTACTTCTTCACGAATTTGTCCATCTTTCTCTTGCGGAACTTTTCCGGAACCTCCATGCGGGACGTACCGACAAAAAACTCGAGGCCGGAGATTTATTTGGTGTCCGCCTTGATGTATGTCTCGTCGTCCGTGACGAGACACCCTGGCTTGACGAGCCACTCACGGTACAGCTTCCGCGCACGCAATTTGGCCACCGTGTTTTGCTTGTCAGCCCGCTTCATGGTCTGCTGGACGAACCACTTCGACGAATTGACCTTTTTGGCCACGTCTCGGGTGGAAAGGTTCGGGTTATTCTTAAAGTACTGCCTTATCTTCCACGCCTTCTCTGGGTATTCCGTTTTCGGTTTTCGGCGCGCCGCTCGATGGTCTTCGTCTCCTGGAACATCTTCACAACGCGGGATACGGTGGAATGGTTGATTCCAAGCCTTTTGCCGATCCTTCTGTGCGACTGACCAGGATTATCGATCACCGCGCCCAAGATTTGCTGGCGTAGCTCTTCTTGTTTCGAATGCATCTTGAAAGCTACTTGACCCACGCGATAAAAAGTTACACCCAAAACAAAGTGTCGCATTTTTTCCGAGTCCAGTCTTTATTCTGCTATTCTGTTATTGCCAGATCAGCTGTAATTACACAGATAACTAATAGACGATGTTTGGGACCAGCAATCATACACAAAGTGTAAAAACTGGTGATCTCAAACTAGGCAATACCAGCGCCGGCTGTACCCGAACGCAGGTCATTAAAGTGATGGGTAGGAATGTGTTCACGTGACACTCGCTTTGAAGCCTATAATGCCTCTGCCTACAACACACCCATGAAGAATTACTGTGATATTGGGTAAGAGGGTTGGGGTTTCAGCATGGTTGAGCTGAATTGATGTCCCAACGATCATATAACTCGAAGGAGCTTGCGATTGAACCCACGGTCTTCTGTTCAGTAAGCAAAAACGTGTGCCACTAGGCAAACGAGCTCCTTTTTAATCATCGAGCTACTGTTATTACCAAGAAGTCATATTAACAAATACAACGTTTGACGAATCTTGAATGTGGATTGACCTAAGATTAGACTCATGATGCTCTGCTCAGTAAGCAAAAACGGTCGGTCTAAGGCCACTGAGTCCCTCGTATCACACCATACCGTTACTCGAGTTGTTCTAACCATTCAAACCCGGCATCGAAGACAACGACAAAGATAAGTTTCGTAAAATACACGATAATCAAGCGATTTGACAATTAACCTCTTTAATGTGAAAGGACCTGGGACCGCGTTTTCTGCTCAGTAAGCAAACCACTGCAATTGTAAGTTGCGGCTTACCTGCCAGCCTATAACTGGCCCGATTTACCCCGGCGGGCGGCTACGAGCAGAGTACTTCCCCCAAAGACGTTCGGATTTGGATGGATTGATGAACAAAAAAAGAAAGAAATTTGAAATTTAAGACGTCTATTGATAATTTAACCTTCCCTTTCTCCTCGCTGATTCTCGGTGACACACGGTAGGGCCCTTAGACGATAGCGGTGGCGGTTGCGGCTTGTTCACGTCGGCTCCAGACACGGTCTGCGCCGAGCGTCTCCTATTTCACTTTAGCTGCGTAGCAGCGGTCCTTGGCGTTTAGCGGGGGGATGAGCAAGGCTCCTTTATCGGAACCCCCCCCCCCCCGGCGACGATGGTGACGAATCACCGGACCAACTACTCGCCTAGATGGTCCCGGTAGTCTCCGCAGTGCACTACCCTGGCGAACCCTCTTTGGTTCGGCCTGCTTCGTCTCTCCTTGACTCTTAACTGCGGTGGCGAGACTGGCTCTACCGGCTGAGCCACCGCAGTGAGGACGGTGGGTGTTCGGGGATCCTTGGTGGTTAGCCGGGAAGCGAAAGAATCCTTTGCGCTTAGCTTCCCTTGGCGGCGATCCGACACCCTTCACTATTGCAGCTCACGAACCACGGCACTTTTCGCGGAGACGACGTCACTTCCACGCGACAATGCTGGGAATTATCCCTCCAGCGGACACACGCCATGAAAACGGCACTTCAACTTCACGTTTTCACTTAAACGGACGGGGCAAATAAAACGAGTCGTATTCCAACCGTGGTTCGTAACTTGCTCGTTCATACTCCCTGACAATCTCGTTCAATCCAACAACCGCCATCGTTCTCCTGCAACCGCGCTCGAATGTCATGCTGCTTATGTTTTTCGCCTCCTATTGCAGCGCGGGAGGAGAAACGGGACCTAATTTTATACTTAACGCGAGACAATTTAAATCGATAATTTTTTCACTACATTTTAATCCTAAAAACATGCCTACGCGAATAAAATCTACTAAGAAAACAACAAATTAAAATATTTACAAATAAAGCAGTGGTGAGTTTGTTCCTGAGCGTGCGACCAAAACAAAAACAAATCATAACAGACAAGGCACACGCTCGTGGTAAACACGTTAAAAGGGTGGGTTATTAATTGTCACCCTAGACGAGGGTTACACAATCGACAATCTTTCAAATCCGAAAACTAAAAGCTGCGAAAAAGCTCTTAGGCCTTCATTAAGTTCCACTTTCACTCGAAGTTCGATGTTTCAATGTGCTCTTTACGCATTGTTCAGGCTATCATTACAAATCTTGACCGACGTGACGATTGTTTAAGCCCTGGTTAAACAAGCTATTCAAATGAAATTACGTTCTCGAAAGCAGTCTCCCAAACTGGATCAAACGTGCGCCCAAGGGTAATCAACTCTGCACACTGTGCCGAAACACAGCATGGCAAACTGTCCGGCACGTAAGGACACACATTATTAACTATAGCACAAACAATTTAATATAAAACAGCAACACTGCCGTAGCCGATTTCGTAGCTATACCTATATCTATAGTTGTTTAATTATATAGTCTGATCAGGCAGGTACAGAAATCGCAACATTCAGTCGGCTGAAAACGATACTCGCAATCGGTGTTGATCTACATAAGTAGCAGCAGCAAGAGGAACAAAATACCAATAAGGCGAAGTTGCCTCTTCAAGTAATCTACAACCATGTCACGATTCCCTTTGTGCTAGATATTGCTCCGTTAAGCGCTGCATGAAATTAAGGTATATTCGAGCAGTACGCAGAGTGGGAGTTTCTCCAAAGGTAATCTAACTGAACCAGAAGAACGACGAAGCCGAAGTTTTAAAGCGCAAGTAATTGAATATTGGATCCAAGTTTTTTGACAGCGGTCAGATAAAGGGTTAATGAAGATACATATAAATAAATGTTTTGTTAACTTGACGCTTAAAAACTTTCGATTATTCATCTTGATAATAATTCTTCTACTGTTGCTCGAATTCCGATTACTTGTCGGTCTTACTTGGCATCCTTTATGAACTTGACTGCTCCCGTTCCGACCTTCTCTGATCATTTGTGACCTTCTACGATGCATGTGTCTTAACACTCCTAGAGTAATAATTTCCAGTCGACGAGCTTCCGGGTAAACCCCTTTGACTGGAAGATGACCGCCAACATTCGAGAGAATGCAGAGACGATTCAATTGAGTTCTGAATTATAAATCAAAAATACTTACCTCAGCATTTTATTAACTCCTCCAACCAGAAAACCGATATAATCATAAACAATCACAAAAATTATAATAAATTTAGGGTTGCCAACCTCATGGCTTACTTCAGCACGTTCTGCACAGCGCTTGGCTAAGCATCCGGCACTGCTAAAACACTCGGCACAAAATATGATGTGTAGAGTTGAATATTCCTTGGCGTGCGCCCCATTTTTTTCCAAAACATTCCAAAGCGTTCCATCTAATTTATATCAGCTATGATTTTCTACAATAGTAGCCTGGGATAAATCGTAATTTTACAAAAATAGCTCGACTTAATAGTCGATAAACCGTATAGTAATTTATTCATAAGGAAATCGAAGAAGCAACAACACAGCAAAAAATAAATTTGGAGAACTTCAAAGTATAAGAACTCTACTAAAATTCACTGATTTCATTCCAACCGATAGCACTGTTCCAAATAATGCGATTCCCAGTTTTACTAAAGGCCATCGTAAACCCGAAAGAGTTTATTTAATAAAGTTACTTAAAAACCCACATGGAACTTTATCCATTTCCCTGTAATCACGTTATAAACTTTTACAATCCACGCCTAATTCAATAACCAGCGCCATATCGAATCAGCTTTATCTCATCAATTATTCTATTCTTTTTAACCCCCCTCGCAGATGGCTGGAATTTGTCATCATCATCGCCATCGACGTCGACGACATCATCATCATCGTCATCAGCGGCAGCATCGTCCTTGGGATTATCACCTACGGCAGAGCGGTTTCCGCTTGGTCTCCTAACGGGAGCCGTATTCAACGAGTCATTTCCCGACAAAGACAGCAGCAGTTATGCCACCGGCGACGATAATAGGTTCAATGTGAGTGACTCCGGTGGAGGTGGGGAAAGCAGAAGTACAAGGACAGCGCCGTCGGTTGCAGTGAGTGAAAGTGGGATCAGTGAAAGGGTTGGGAGAAAAGTTCGAGCAAGTGAAAGTTTCTGGAGCAAATTGCTTCCTGCTGCCGTTGGAAGTGCTGCTCTCAAAGGTGCCGGCCATAATGATAATGTTAACTCTGGTGTGATTAATCATTCGATCGGCCGGTTGTGGAAGGAACGAAGGAGCCATTCCGGCAGTGATAACGATGGCAATCAGGTGGAAAGCAGTAAGAGGCAGGAAGAGCTGAAAAATTATCCCCGGCAAGGTGACGGCAAAGGAAGGAAAGGACCAAGGTGAGTAGTTGATAACTGCTTGTTGTATTGCAATCTAGAATCTATGAGTTGTCGTTGTCGAGGAAGGAGCAAGTCATCCTATCGGTGATGGAGAAAGGTTGAAGAAGGGTGCGTCTAATGAGCAGGAAAGTCATGCGGGTGTGAACATTAAGATAAAAGCTCTTCTTGTGCCGTTCGACGATGGGTTGCAAGCAACAGGTAATTCAATTAAACTCAATTGACATTGTGTGATGTTATCTTATCGCTGCGGAGTAAATTTCCCCTGGGAGCACGTACATGTCAGTCGGGATTGATGGCAGTTCAATTAATTACTGCTCTTAGCACGAGCGACCTGTTGGATGGAGTGTGGTAAGATTAGATGAGAATGTATGATTTGGATACATGGAAGTGAGCTGGTTCATCTAAGAATAGTGATTCAGATTTCAAGTAATCAACAACTGACTTGGGGCTCGATTTTTTTGTTTATGTTTTGACTTAGTTTTGAACATACCAACTTTACTCCTAAGTAACATTGGAAATTTTATTTAAAGCATTCCAGAAGCCTAAATCGTAGTCTACAGAATCTTCACAAAATCGAAATTTTTACTTGGGTAACTTTATATAAATGGGGTCCTTAGCTCAGTCGGTTAAGACGCAGCTATAAAGAAAGACCATTCTGGAGGCGGCTGCGTACGATTCCCGGTCCGATGTAGGAATTTTTCGGGTTCAAAGCTTCCTCGACTTCCCTGTGCATATACAGTATGATTGTACTTGCCACACAATAATACTCATTCATAAATGGTAATGGCTACATAGGCGTAGTAAAAGGTGGGTAGGGGAGGGGAGTTTAACAATGCCTTCCTGAATTAGCGACAACATAAATTTTTATTTTGCTGGTAAGTGTTCCAAATTATCTCACGAGTTAAATATTTTTTTAACTTATCAAGTTTATCAATACTCCTATGCGACTAGACTACCATGCGTCTCCATAGATTTATAGCGACTGTAACATGGTCACAACGCATGGTAGTCTAGTCGCATAGGAGTAAAGGCTGACTAAAAGTAATTTTGTTACGCCCCTCACGCGCCGTGCTAGGAATCAAAAATCTTTGATAGTGGTTTGTTTACACTTGAATAGAGTAAAGTTTAAAACGAGTGACCATCAGAGGATCTCATTTAATTTTTCTGGGCATTGGCACACATCTCACTCGGAGCTGCTTTTGGAACCTTAGACCAAAGTAGTTGTTTGCCAGTGGTGGCTATTAAGAAAAGAAAAGTGCTTCACGTGTTAATCAGTGTAAGCAAAAACGTTTGCCACTAGGCAGACGAGCACCTTTTTAATCACCGAGTTTCTGTTATTACCATGTAGTCATACTAACAAATAAAACGATTGACGAATCTTGAATGTGGATGGGCCTGAGATTAGACTCATGATGTTCTGCTCAGTAAGCAAAAACGGTTGCTCTAAGGCCACCGAGCCCCTCCTATCACATAATACCGTTGCTCAAATTTGTGTATCCATTCAAACCCGGAACCAACGACAACAACGAGTTTCGTAAAATACACGATACACAAACGATTTTACCATAAATCTCTTTGATATGTAAGGACCTGGGACCGCGTTTTTCTGCTCAGTAAGCAGGCCACTGTAACCGACGATCTTTCAAATCCGAAAACTAAAAACTACGAAAAAGTACTTAGGTTCCACATTCACGCGACGTACAATGTTTCAATTTGCTCTTTACGTATTGTTCAGGCTAGGCCCTTTTCAAAAGTTACGCGAGAAATACGCACAATCGTCGTCTACCTCGCAAAACTGGTTCCAAACGACAACAAAGGCATAAGCAACGATGGATTGTTGAACTTTGCTGGCTCCGGTGGTGTAGTGCACATCAAAAAAAAAATGTAATATCGATCAACGTAATTTAAGCTGATGTATGAAATAATGATGTAATTGTAATTTTGTAATTTATCAGCACCCTGGTCGACCACTGTAAACCAATCTTCCGTTCAGCGTTATCGGTTTTTGTTTCTGGATCTTTAGTTGCCTCTGTGATATACTTACTTGCGGCATACTATTTTGGGAGTGTATATGAGCGTGTACCATGTACGGTAGCTCATCTCTCATCGTGATGGTGGGACATAGTATACGAATTAGAGAGAAAACAAGGAGATATTAGTATTAGTTATATGTAAACAAACAAAACAAAAGAAGAGAAGAGGAAAGAAGAGCAGAAAAATAAAAAGGGGATACAGTAGATAACAAAGAAAAGAAACGTAGGCAGATTATTAGAAAAGGCATTATCCGAGACCTCAATAAAATGTCACTCCCGCCGAGATCCAAGCGGAACCCTCCCCGCCGAGACCCGCACAACCGAGCTCGGTAGTAAAAACTGAGTGTGTAGATAGATTAGTAGGAAAATAAATAAAACTACTTTATGACTCAAAGTGCAATGAATGAGCGTTAGTTTCGGGATCATTTCAGTGTTAGAGTTATGTTGGTTTTGATCCGTAATCAGCCCTGCCGACCCCTCCAACATTAGTTTCAGGCAGTGGTTGTTAGATAATGCGGCACTGTAACTACTACTATTTAAGAGGTATGATTCGTCAAGTTTATACAAGTCAATGTTTCAATTGAGGCAAACTATCTATCTTACAATTACAATAGCAAACCTAAACTTACAATTATATGCAAATGCAAAATGAAACTTGACAAATCATCGTCAATCCCCTTATTCCAGGGCAGGGCCTGACGATTTGAATCTAATTTTGTTCAGTGAACGGGCACCATATGGTACATTTTCTCACCATGAACCTATCATTTCCAGCCTATCTGAACTATTTAATAAATGGAAGCCATAACATGGGTTACGCTCCCCCTAAGCGGGCCCTCCGCATCCTGTCTCTGTCTTATCTCAAATACAAAATGCCAATGGTATGAATGTATCTATATATAACTTGGAAATGACGTACAATCAAATAAACCCGTAACCCACTCACTTGGTCAGGTTTCAGAATCGTCCAGTGGGCAGTGCGCTCTACACTCCATGTTCCCTTTTTTCAAATTTACCGCAAATTTGATATTTTAACCATTGAGTGTTGATTAGTCACAATGAAACATTGTGACAGAAGTTGAGGTTACTAGTGTATTAAATAATCTAGGTCCTATTTAGGATTATATCTGAAAAATCCAAATCTGGCCAACGCCCACCCTAAACCTAAACCTGTTCTAATCCACCTGAAATGACTAACAAATGGAAGACTTTGACTACCCAGCCATGCAATAGTCTCATTCCGTGCCTTATGGCAACTTGATGATTCTATTGCGCTCATCTTCTTGCACCACCCAGGGGAGACTTGGTTCTGTACCCAATGCTTAACTTATCTCCATTCCACTCAGCTACTCGCAATTTCTTGTGATATGGTGGGCGGAATATTATTATATGAGACAATTCAATGCAGATGTCTTTCCAAATTTGGCAGATCGACAGGTAATCGGTGAGTTACCACGATAGTTGCTATTCAACAACTCGACAACGTCCCATCGTCAACGCCTGCTATGAGAATTTCCCATTGCAGACGCCAACGAAATGACGTCATCGAGCTATCGATCAACTACCCTGGTTATCACCTGGTACCTTATAGCACGATGCTAGGAGGCAAACCGGAAGAATCGATGAGCTACCTCCCCCTTTACGTGTTAATCAGCACTTAAAGTGAGCTTAACTAAAAGTCCATTATTGATACTTTTGACCAATAATTTAGTCTTTAAATTAGGCCAAAATATCGCAGATATTACAAGTATTCTGCCCACTTCACCCTTAGGAAGGCTAAAGTGTAATAAAGTAGCCTTTAGGTAAGCCACCATACTTAAAATTAGGTTTGGTTTGTAATGATGGTAATTTTGTTCCGTTGAACAGCACATTCCACTGCTCGACGTGAGAGTTTATGCGGAGCCGCATTTCCGTGGTGAGTGTACTACTTGGACGGAACACGTGCGAAATTGGATCTTTTCCGGCTGGAAAAGCGGTTCACGGGTCGATCGTTAGTTATCCCCGATTCACCCTAGGAACGTTCGCCCACCTCCCACCAAGGGGGCCAGAAAAAGCTACTATCGGAAGCTAACGCCTCAGCCGAGACAGTCCGTTCCACCAACGAGTGCAGCTCCCCCACGTGACCGTGATTAGAAACCACGACTCGCCGTTACGTTACAATAAAAACATCGCACTCAGACTGTGTGCGCCATCTACCAGTTTTAGTGAAGAATCGTCGGCGGTGCCGTTGGACTGTGTGCGTGTCCTCGCTGCGTGTGAAAGGGATCGGCGTAATCACACGCGCATGTAGCCTCACTGTGTTAGCAGCATGATTCGTTGAAGCTTGCATCCTTCGCCTATCACCGTTGGAGTATTCTGCCACCCACCGAAGAGAGTATGTCGCCGAACCAATAAGGTCAGACCAAACCATTGTCTCTTTTTTAGAATACCTAGGATTAATAACGAAGATTATAAAGTGCTCCAGGAGCCTAAGGAGTTAGAGTAGGCTAGTAAATGTTGAACGAAAATGTTCAAACCAGTGTAAATTTTGAATACAAATGCTCCAATGCTCTCTAACACAAATCTAGCCTTGATTATTTTGGTTGATGATTCCACAGAGATTGTTGATCGGTTTTCGCATAGTTTTTTTGATCTGATTGCATCATGATTGCATCTCCACTTTTTCGGGTTTGAATTCAAGATTGTTGTGAAGAATTTTGGGATTGAATGCCGCTTGTTTGGGAAAGTTAAAATGAGATCGGATGTTTGAAAAACCTACCAACTCGCCCTAGATTACGAGTCTCAGCCGTGTGTAAGAAACGCCTCAGCAGCCTCTCCCTCGGAGAGGGGCGCGTAAGCTGCTGTTGGTTGCGAGGACAAAAGCATTCGTTACAAATGGAACTCGAAAGAAGAAAAAATATTGTGCACAAACATCTGGAAAATCCGGAGTGGCCCGGTTCCAAGCTGGCTAAAGTAGGTACTGAAGAT